GAAGGCACCGGTAGTCGAAAGTAACTAGCCTCTTCATGTCCGCTGATCTAAGGAGCCAAGTTTCACAACCGTACAGTAGGGTCGAACGTACTGCTGCAATGTACACTCTACCTCTCAAGGCGAGAGTGATGTCGCGTCGGCGCCATAAGTCGCGAAGGTTAGCAACAGGGCCTCGAGCTTTTGCTATGCGGTTCGTGATCTCATCTTCGACCCAAAGGGGACCGATACATTTTCCCAGGTAGTTGAATTTCTGAAAGACTTTTAGCTGATTCCCACCAACGGTCAGCGAAGGAGGCGGTCCAGGCCAATCTTGGACGAACGCTTTGCACTTCGATGGTGCAAAGCAAAGCAAAGCCCGAAGTGACGGACAACCATTGCTAATCTATCCTGTGCCGCTTGGCGCCTTTGTGAGCTGTCACAGGTTAGTGCAATATCGTCGGCATACTTTAAGTGAAGAAGTCGTTCTTCTGGGAGCAGATCCACACCTTCTAAGTCGTGTCCTGTGAGCGTGATTTCTATGACTTTGTCACTAGCGATGTTGAAGAGGAAAGGGGACAGCAGGCATCCTCGTCTCAGGCCGCTGGAGATATTAAATGGCGACGACAGCTTGCCGTAAGTCTTCACTCTGCCTGAGCTACGCGAGTATGCGAGCCCCTTAAATGTTTACGCTTTCAGTAATAGTCCCATGCTGTATGCACATTTTACTCTCCATTATTCCCCGTTGTCTTGGGATTAGTTTCACTTTTCCCGGTGACACTCGCACGCTGTCGCAGCTCATGGCTCCTCATCTCGTCTCGGCCGGCGTGGCACTCGAGTCCATGCTCTTCCTTTAGTCTAGGGTATTCTCGATTTACACCACTCATAGGGCTTTTGGTCTCCTAAGGGGCATTTTATGTGTCCAGAGCGGAGGGAAACCAAATTAGTAACTACTCATTTGTTCACTAAACTTTTTGTAGTTGTAGCAGTCTGGTTGGATCGACTCTCCCAGTCTAACGAATGAACGACTTACGGATTGTATACCCACAATGGAAAGTTGCCGACAGAATTCGATTCGTACGACCCGCTGACTTAGTCGCCAATCTTTCTCTACGCGCGAGCTGAATCCAGCTACTAGAATGAAGGTGGACCCCACACGCGTCTACACAACCCCGAGAGAACGGAAAAAGTAACCCCTTCGCAGCGGTCGCTTATATTAGCCCAGCAAATAGCGCATACAGTGTTGGTCAGGCTCTCTTATATACCGCGATCGGTAACGTATGTTTTGTACATTGGCTAAATTAAGAGAGCGTGACGTAAGCAAGTGAATTAGCACAATGCGAATGTAAGCGGAACGTTTCGGAAACGCGAATGTTTGTAATTGCAGTGGCTGGCGAAAAAGAACGCGAATTCATTGCGGTGGCTGATTGAACATGAATATGATTGTCTGCGCCTTAGTGATTTCCGCTTTGCGCGATCTTGTGGGGATGTGCGTTCCCCATAACACTTAATGTACCCTCTTGCATTACCGGACCACGATTGTTGCAGACACAGTATAACACTGTAATTTGTCTATATAATAATCACATTGAGCTCACTTATTCCGTCGCATACTGGGTAGTTCAATACGGTTAGCTTCTCCAGCACTACTGGCTGCAGTTTTATTGCTTCTAAAGTGTTTCGCTCTGTTCGCTCACCGAAGCGTGGTGCATCCAGTTCACACATTTCCTCGCAAAACTACAATAACTAGCACCGGTGGGAACAGTCAGGCAAACCGCGAGTAGAATATAAAGCAAAAGGAGACAGGAAAGAAATAAAGCTATTCGGGCCGGAATATTAACAGCTGGGTGCAAGGGACCGAATACAGAAACGCCGCCACATGTACCATGCCCGACAGGATCTACAATGATTGATGTAGCCCATCTCGAGGTCCAACCCACGAAACTGGCATGCTTCAGCTTGATCAGATTTTTCAGTTAATTTCCTGATCCCCTGTTATTGCCTTACCAGCTGGTTGCCTCACGGTATCGCTCAACTAGGGTCAGCGCTGGAGAAGACAGTCAACAGACATCCAGAGGACATGACCTAACCAAGTTACGCCATTCAGATTTAACATATCCTCTAGTGAGGTACCAGAGGGTTTCTTGTCAAACGCCAGCCAGCGGACTTCCGTACTAGTTGTGCACCTCAGTGATGTAACCTTCATTGAATCCTCTAACCGCTTTCAGTCGTTGCTCGGTGATTGCCAGAACAATTGGTGTGTCGGCCTAGTCAAGCTACACTACTTTGCAGTTTGAAAATGAAAATGCGTGTCGCAGCCTGCAGAGCTACGCATCAGCTTACTCAGTAGTGCTTGCATGTCTTATGGGCCCTATCCAAGGGGAACTGTGTCGTGTGCATACTCAAGATTTGTCAGGTAATCATTTGGCATAACTTGACTTCAGAGGAGGCTGAGAGGACATAAGCTTCTATTCTCATTTGGATCACAAATTCGAAGAAGTAGAAGGATATAGAGCAACTTTGTAGATTTCCATTTGCAGTGGGGAACTCTGCTGACAGATTCCTGTAGACCCCCACCAGGCATCGGGTCGTGGTAGATAGACTTCACAATAGTAGGGGCTTTTTATGACACGTCATTCACTAGTACACAGCACTACAATCTCGTATGAGTAACTGGTTTGAAGACAGGTATCAAGGCAGCGAAACACCCCCCCATACTCAGTCACATGCGTGTCTCTGCTCCAACACTTGACGGAAAGTTATTATGTAACCAGTGCAACCTCATCCAGAACGAAAAGTAGTTTGGCTGCGGTACGTTTCACATTGTAGCATTCGCTTTCCACCTTCAGCTGCCTCTCAGATTGTTCCCTCATCAGTTCTCACGATTTACACCCGGTTGATTCACCTGCCTGGATCTTTTCATAAATTCCAATAGCAGGGTTAACTCGAAAGCTGTTGCCCGTATGGGAAGGCATTGAAATAGGCAGCAGTACGCGGGTACGCAATACCGACGCTATGCTGCCGTGCACCCACCACCAACTTTACGTTGGCTAAGGGCACTACGAAGGTCGTCCGGTTCCTACGCAAGCTCGAACCCGCGCCCTCGGATTACAAGACAGGCTTGTGATCCTTAAGGCTACGGGTCGGCATATTGGAAGGTATTGCCTCTATAACCTTACATCTTCTGAGCAAAGTGAAACAGATTAGGTTATCAGATGTGTTTGGGGATTCCTATTGTAGTTGTCCAGGAGTCTTTGTGGGCACGGTTTCTCGGTCGCAAGAGAAATATACATTGTTATTGTGCTCCCTGGATTTTAGTTCTCACCCACCGTCAGGTTTGGGCACTCTGATAGTATCCCAGCTCGCGTGCAACCAGTCACGATTGCGTGGTAGCAATACATCCGTACCGCGTGCTGGTGTACTTCTGGCACCAACTGATCTTTATCCTTCAGTGGCTTAGTGCCTGAGGTTCAGAAACAAGCCTTTCGGCGTTCACTACCCTTTGCGCCTGCTTAAACGCCTACCCCAACTCGTTCTTTTTGTGGTTGTCGACTGAATGTAGTAAGTTGTCCACATGATCGAACAAGCCGACCGGATAACGGTTACGATGATACTCGTGTCTTCCTAACGGACCCGAACATATGATCAGGCTGTATTCGGCTCGCTGTCGGTACGACAAGATGATGTAGATTGTATTTCAAGCACACGCCTGGATCCAATTTTTACTCAATCACACCTGTACACCAGCCTTTAACTTTTTGCTTTCTTATCAAAAATAGCCTTGTAATTAGATTTCTGCGTTATCTCGTTCCGCTACCTAGAATTCCGTGACAGCCTTACTCACACTTTCACTTACTTACCTCATCGATAATGTCTACACAGGCATGATGCGAACCGTTTATGACTTGCCGTTGACGCCCATTTATCGCTACAAATCCACCTAGAATTACTCTCACCAGGTATGTCCTCCAAACGACAACTTGGTAAGCATACATTCTCCACACCCCACTTGTTTTAAGCGATATTTCTCCCGATGCCACTTTACCTTTCTAGGTAGCCGCTCCCGGAGGCCGTTTTCTGTTCGTGATCGTTGCTGGGAAAATGTGGATATTAACCGCGACAATAGCAATGTATGAACACGACTGTAGTATGCCCTAATTCTCGAACCACTGCAGTAGCATGGAAGAATCTAACGTGTCACTTTATGGTTGCACCTTTTCCACATTTCTGTCGGTACACAGACCTGACTTGGGCAACCGGAGACGACAGCATTTCCAATAACAACCAACGCTGATTTTCGGGTTTCGGAGAACCCCCCCATGTGTTCTGAATTGCGACATGCCATTTCACTTGTGGCTTCGGTTGACTTTGAAGTCAGCATCTGCTAATACAATCACTGGGACGGTCATCGAAGGGAAGGGTTTCGATGTGGCTGTCTCACATCCCTGCACTCCACGACGGATAGGTTCGTCCTGGTTTGGACTCATTAGGTAGAGAGCCGAGCTGCGAGTATAACGCCGTTTGCTTCTCTCACACTTCCATCTAACTCGCTGCGCGATAATGCCTATGCTACTGGTTGTTGTCTCCTGTGCCTGTGTTAGTACATGTGTGTCTAGTGTCTGTCCTCGCCCTTGTCGCCTGACTATCATTTCGTGGTTGTGGGCTCTATAGGCCATCCTCACTGCTACAGGTGAAGAGTCATCCAACAAGTCACCAGATAGATTGTCGTCGGTCGGATCGCAGAACTCGACGAGTATGATTCTTACATGTTGACCAGTCTGGGTCAAATTTTCGTGTTCTCTTGACTATGCCATCTAAGTTCGTGGTTATTGTTTTTCGAAACTTCACAGTCCTTTCTCGCGTTTTCTCTTCGATCATCGCACTGAATTAAGGAGTCGCAGCTTTCATTTATGATACTTTACCTTTTTAATGCTCGTGTGTTTTGCATCTCGTGTTTGTTATGGCTTTCGCAAGCTACCATGCATCCCTTACTTACTAACCTGAGATTCATTGCCTTCACACAGGTCGTATCGATGATATGCTAAACGTCAGCGGTCACCTGATCAGTACAGCGGAGGTGGAAAGCACCGTTCTCCTGCATCCTCGTGTAGCGGAAGCGGCAGCTGTCAGTCGCGTTCATCCAGTGAAGGGAGAATGCTTACATTGCTTTGTCACTCTGAAAGAGGAGAGCCTCGCTTTATGCACTTCTGTGACCAATGGGACACGGCATGATGCCTTTGAAGCTCTCCGAGACCAGATACACGATCTAGTTCGCAAGAAAATTGGTCCGTTCGCTATTCCGGATCACGTACAGGTTAGTTTGAGGGTTAGCCTGTCCTGGTTGCCCTCTTCTTTGCATTGGGTTGCTCCCTTTTTGATAAGTCTTCGTACAACCTTTTATACATTTTGCTCCGTTTTAATTATCGCAATCCGCGCACATCCTGTGTCAGCGCACCGAATTTTCGGTTACTTTATGTGTTCATTGCTCCTTGAGAAATTGACGCTCCGCGAAATTTCATTTTGTGCTTACTGGGAAGACTAGTTTGTCTCTTAAAGCTCGTCCTAATTCTGTTCTTTTTCGCCACAGCTGTCTGATACGAACACCGAAGAGTGATGGGTTCCATCGGAGCTCCGGCTCACGTCTTTGCGTCTTGGGAAGATGAAGAAACAATCAGACTCTTTAGGCAATGTGTTGATCTTGAATGAGTCAAAATAGACGTTAAAGTCACCGTTTGAGAAGTTCGGTATTTGAAAGCACAAAACGAACTGTCATGATCTCCGTAAACTTAGCCGGTTGATCATGTTGCATAGAGCTTCCAGTCATGAGGTTATCGGTCATGAGTACCCCATACATCCATGAATTCGGGGTTCATGAACCCTACTTCGTATTTTACTAACATACTTCACGCCTATTTTTGTACTTCTTTGTGTTGTTCTTCCGGGAGGTTTCACCCATTCAGACATTAGCCCAGGCAGACTAGTGCTTCCAGTCCGATTGATCGCTTTGTACGACCTCACCTCCAAACCGATGCAGCTGAACTGACTCACTGCTGATGTTTCCGCTTCACCGTACCGATCGGCAAAACCATAACTTGTTGCGAGGCTTTTGGACCATACGGCTAATTAGTACCGAGACCCTCCGGCCATCATCTGACACCAGATTCCTGACTTGTGTCTGGATGTTGTTGTGATGGCCCATCCATGAATCAAAAACAGAGTCTGGGACTCGATCGAAATTTTTTGTTCGAAGTACAACCGAACCATTTTATATATCCCACGAACTAGTTTCACTTATAATGTGTATGCGTTCCCAAAAAACAATAGCTTCCTTAACTTACACTCGAGCTTTATTCTTGTCAGCCCAAGCCAGTTGTGCTGTCAGTCTATTCAGCTTGCGTCAGTGCTGATTGATTATCTTTGAGGCTGTGACCTTGTGATTGCAAGTCGGGTGTGCAGACCACTCGGCCACCGATCGAGGCAACTAGATGCGACACGCCTCTGTGTTGTACTCAGAGCTGTCTACTCGAACTAGTTCCTACATCGTTCTTTGTCTTCGCTCATCTGTAGCTCACTGTTGTACCACTTCGACCGCGAACTGCTGCTTACAGTCCGTTTTGCATAGCGCCCAATCTAGCCGTGAGACCAACAGCCAAGACTAGGTAGACGGTGTATATTCTACGGAAATTAACGGTGCAGTTTATAGGTCAACCATGCATTTTAAGTATGGAGGCCGTGTTCCCCCATCTGCGTCTTCCTGGCCTCAACCAAGCTGAACGCGTTCCGCTTGACTAGTTCTCCATATTTGACCGTTATTTCACGTGATCACGCAGTCCTCGTTCTCTCAGCCGACGCTCACTCGACTTTGCCAACCACTCATATGTTGTCACCTGTTCGCCCATCCGGCACGACCGTTTAGCTGCATTACAATGTTTATAGTAACACTAAGCTACTGATTGTGATTTAGGGTCCGTCAACATTCTTTCCGCATTCTTCTGAGCTGCACTATCTCCAAAATTTAGGTCTAATGTGTTCATTGTTTACTTCTGCCCGTCACACACGCTGTACTATAGATTCATGTTATTTGGAGGGTCATTTTGAAGTACACACTTGGTTGATTTCACTCCCGTAACCGATTGGTGCATTTGTTATAACCCTGTACCCCCCAATCGACCGGTTGGTTTACGCCTGCTGGTAAATCTGCGCCCTTACGCCTGCTCTGCTTGACGTCTTGGCCAACCTGACAGGAACGAAAACAGAAGAACACTCAACCGACTAGAGTTGTATTAGAACCGAGAACGCTCATATTTATAGGTCGGTCTCACCAACCCTCTAAACACCGCCTGTCGGATTCGACTACTTGTCTTCCTCGTACGCCCACGCTCCACACTTGACTGTCCGCCCCGTCTGCCCAGTTCACCGTCTAGCTCGGGCACGCCAGTCTTCATCCGCCTACCCAGGGCATGGCAACGTACATGATGTCTGACGCGCGATTTCATCAGCTTCTGGTCAGACCTTGGCAACACGCATTATGTCTGATGCGCGATTTCATCAGCTTTCGTCTTGGCCGTGGCAACACCCTCGCGGGGTCTGTCCCAAGCACGCTTTGTGGCGAACACGCGCGCATTAGCAATCAGCTTTCTCGTCCACCTGTCAGCATGTCACCGCTAAATTGGATTACGAACACCTGTTCGCTACTGAATACTAGTTGTAAGCAACAAGTAAAGTTTGCTCTGCGTAGCTTCATCTAATGTTACACAGGGACAAAGACCTGTTATGTCGTGTTGCGCTCAATATATTTTGCATCGGCAGTGTTCGTCAAGTAACTTCCTAAATTCCGACACCGACTTTGCCTCAACTACGTGCTGCGGCAGGTCGTTCCATACATTCACCACTCTGCGTTCGAGACATAGTTGGTGAGCGACCCGCTTCAAATCCGGTACGACAAGCTTATACCGGTGTCCTCGTGTGCCGCTTGGTGTGCGCAGATGAAGCAGCGGTCTCAGCATTGGGTAATCACCCAGATGCAATATCCGGTGCGTCATGATGAGGTCAACCCTCATTCGACGATAAGCTAGGGTGTACAGCTTTTAGGCCACCCCAATCAATGTAGGCGCGGATCAGTTGTAGGCATCATTGTTGAATAGTGATTTCCGCTGCGTTGATTCTTTTGCACGCTTTACGGATCCACTCGCTTGCAACAAAACAAGTCTTTTTGAGTACTCGATTTTAATTATTTATGCTTCAATTATAACGATGACGTGGTATTGTTCCTTTCTTCCGACAGATCGCTTCCACGCTACCCAAGACTCGAAGTGGCAAAGTACTGCGACGTATTTTGCGCAAGATTGCCAATTTGGACTTCGATTTCGGTGACACCTCCACCATCGCCGATCAGTCCTGTCTCGATGACCTGATTGCACAGGCCAAACTAGTCTGAACTATCAACCAATCACTCATCTCGTCTACTTATCCCCAACTCTTTATACTTCACCTTTAAACACCATTTCTGTGTTGTCACACACACACACACCTCTGTAGCCACAACTGTCAACACACCGTTGCTATCTTCTTCATCCTGTTCGGAGAAGTACAGTACACTTGCTACTCATATGCAACCATTTTGGTGACATTGAGGGGTGTCACGTGGTCAATGTGTCCTATTCTCTCTCTCTCTCTCTCTCAGATCAAGTGGCAAGGTTGTGCTTTTTCTATCCAGCGCATGCCGCTCCCTCCCCCCCCCCCCCCCAATGCCTTGTCAACACTATTCCGGGCATTTGCGTGCATCAATCCCCTTTCTCTCTCCCCTTCCGTACCTACTTATCGGTCTGGGCGGCATTCGAATCGCTCGGCTACTACCTCGGTTGTGATCGCAATTGTTGTTTATCGATTTTATTGTTCTATTCCACTTTTTATTTTTTGTTCACCCCCCGTTTCGACTGCAGTCACCATCGATCTTTGTATGCCAATAGCTGATGTTCTTCACTTGACATTCCCCCAACCTGAGTGTTTTCATTATTTCAGGGCTTATCTAGTCTATCTATTTATCGTTTGTCTTTTACGCTATACACTTGGTAGCACACACATGCACACCACCTTGCATTTCTGTCGCCCTGCTGCTAAATGGACTGGATGCGTTTACATCCTCGAGGCGCATGGCTACCGCATGTATATGTGTGTTCTCATTTCTCCGGCTGTCAGGGGTCAAATTTGTCACACTGGCTTTTTTATCCAGTCTTTCGGTATGGTTCAGGTCAGTTAAACACCTATGATCCTGGCACCGAACTTCAATAGTTTGTCCAGTTGCCACGGCTCGCGTCACCAGCAGAACCATAGAGGAAGCTGACGATAAAGATGAGCTAAAGCGAGAACTTGAGGGATCGGAGAAAAGTGCTTAACACAAGGAGAAGACGAAGATTGACAGTTGCTAACGTTTCGTATTATTTCATCAGTACCAATACAATAATTGGGGAATTTTTTTGTCGGTGTCATAGGGCATATTTTATAAGCATGTCCCCGCGTTTTGAGATGATAAGCGGGCAAAGGAAAGAGCTGAAGGTCACCACAAACTTCACGGCTATCCACGATCACCTTTCATGCGAAAGCGTTGACATATTCTATGTCCTACTTGACAACTTCCTCATTCCAGTGCAACCGGTCCCAGGGGCGACTGCCGCGTCAGTCACCGTTGAGCGTTGGCCCTCAACCAAATCAAGCTTACAGTGCCCCGAACCCATAGGGACGATTGACTCCATGAGAGTGCAAGATTCGCAAGTTGATCGAGCCGATTGTGCTTAAGCACCGGGCATCGTGAGGAAGACTACATTTTGTGTGGATTCATCGCAGTTAGACACAGGCAGACCGTCACCACACATCCAGCAAAGCGCTAGGCCGCCGTTTCGTCCTATTGGGACTCGTCAGTAACGCGCACCCGCCGAATCCTGCCGGACTCGGACCCACGACCTTACTCATGCGAGTCAGCGACTGTCTGCCTGTGTCTAACTGCGATGAATCTACACAAAACGTAATAAATTCCTTTACTGCGTACAAAGACTCAGTAGTTGCCTTAGCAGCTTACATGCCACCTCGGTTGGTGGCGGCTTGCAAAGGAAGTCATTGCTCTGGGGACCAGCCCTGGCGTCTGCACACTCATAACATGCAAGACAGTGGAGGATGAGTCCCGCTATATCGCAGTTAGATATCAGTCATGGCGGTCCGCTGCCGTCGCCCATGGCTCATTGACATAAGCCGCTGACTCGCATGAGTAAGGTCGTGGGTTCGAACCCAGCTGGATTAGGCGGGTGCGCGCTACTGACGAATCCCAATAGGACGAAACGGCCGTCTAGCCTTTTCCTGGATGTGTGGTGACTGTCTGCCTGTGTCTAACTGCGATGGATCTACAGAAAACCTAAGAAGACTACATTGTTGAGATACATGACCCATACATTCGTTGTATCCGCAGACACAATTGCAACTCGTATCAACCGAATCCTTGGTGACACCACGTCTAGTGCAGACCTTCGCAAAATGAACACCGCCCTTCAGTTAGTTATATTGCTGTTATATGCAACCGCTGAAACACGTGCTCATGCTGTTTGCGCCGTACACCGCTGGTGTTGTGTAACTCCGCAAAAACCGATCGGCAATCCGAGTGAAGCCGGGGCATCAAGCACTGAATCACTTTTTTACCGACCATCATGGGCAATGTAGCTCTACTAACATGAACCCAGAGAGCGGTTCCGAAAAGCAGATCAAATGCAGCGAAGCTTTTATTTTGTACAGTAAAAGGTTCCCAGATGATCTAACTCTAAAACGACACGGATGAATGTTGCCGGCTAGCTGAGCGCAAAGGTGCAGCACACTCAGCCGTCGCACGTTGCGAACTAACTGAGCGCCAAAGCAAAGGCCTTAGTCGATCCAAAAATTTAATTCAACTTACCGCACCGATCATTTAGGTATACAATGAAATATAGTAATTTTATTTAGAATATTAAACAACCGATTAGATCAAAAAGGAACAATGGATTTATCATGGATAATAAAGCAGACGTTTACCGTTTTCCACAGATAAAAAGTGGGACCAAAAATTGAATGTATCAAGAAAAAGTAATGCGTAACGAGGTTTTCACCTCAAAGTTCACGGGAACAGATAGTCTAGTTAGGTTGTCCCGTGTCTCATTAACGGGTTAAATCGTGCAATACAGTTGGTGTAATGTAGCGTCGTTGAGTTTTGAATTCCGCCATCGTAGGAGCAGAGTTGACAGGATATGGAAGAATGTTTCACGGCTGGGTTACACGAATTGCGAATAAGCTCCGGCGGCATTCCAACCAGCTATACTGTGTCGCCAACTTCAAATGGTGGCCTCAGTGAAGTGTTGTAGCTGAGTTTACATAAGTGTCGGCATGGATAGACAATGGTTTGTCATGAGTTAAAAAGTATTACTTCGCATGTCTCCCGGGATGATTGGCGTGAAGGCTGCAAACTCTAGAACTATGTGGGTCATCTACCGAGTTAGATGCGCTTATAAATAACGATACTATAAAGTAAACATTGAATCCAAGCATACAGAACAACATGGGGTACAATGATTGTTGAGGTAAAGCGTGGGAGAAAACATATAGTCGCTCACTCATATGTGGGTATCCTTGGGTCCATGTGATATATGAATCCGACAGAAGGACATGCTAACTGTAATCCGCAATCGGATAGCTTGGGTAGGGAACTGCTGGGAGCTATGCCAAACATCCAATCCTTTTTCGATGGTATCTAAAGTGGAGCAAACAGCTGAGTTTGGGAAAAAATTCCGGGGCGGAAAACCCGAAGTGAAAAGTCATTCCGTCGACGCTAGACGGTTGTATTGTTCACTCCGTTTCACACAGTTACCTCTGAGGTTATAGTTGTGGCTGCCTTTCAGATAATGGTGACATATGTGATGGGGTCGGTGAATATTTAGTACACTAATATAAGATAGTCGCGTAGATTTCGGTAGCGTCCACCAGTAATCTCCAGCAAATTCAGCCTTCACTTGTACCTGGTTAGACCATTGAGGTTCTCTGTTGCCGTGCATTGTGGGTCTAGCACTTCCAGGTTGTGTTTCAATCAAGATTGCCAAACTTGGATGGCGTATTCACTGTGAGGACGCGCGTAAGAATTATGCATCATTGGAAAGTTTGATAGGTTATAAGTCTTGAATGCCCTTCGCAACAAACGGACGTGCTGGTTGCCTATTTTCACAGCTCCCTCAGCCTGTTTTGAACAGTTGTGGTCGCTCTGTACGAGCACACCAATCTCACGTTCCTGGGAACTGATCTGCAATCTGTGTCCCTAGCCAATACATGTGGCCATATCTATGTCGTAATTGCACAACGCCACGTTTGTCTACCTTGAATGGTATGCCGTTCTGAACTGACCACTTCGAAATCGTGTTAAGATCGCACTGGAGCTGTTCGTGGTCGTCCGGTCCTCTGATCATTCGCCACAGCTTGAAATCATCCGCGAAACAGGAAACCGGAAGCAATTGTTCACGTTAAATCGTTTAGGAACGCCAAGAATAGACGAGGCCCAAGTATCGAGCCTTGCACTACGCCACACTCCACGTCGATTGCGTCAGCCATGGATTCCAGCACTCTCACTCCAACCGACGTTCATGAAGAAAATCGCATATCCAACCCAAGATTGGGTCGCCAATGCCGTAGTTTTGAAGCTTGTGAATAAGAATTCCATGGCCTAAACGGTCAAACGCTTTTGACAAGTCCAGGTAGATGACATTGACTCCTGTTCCATCATCAAGTGCCTCAGTCCAACTACTGATTGCAACTACTTGGTTTATAGTCCATGAGGGTTTCTGGCGGAAGCTTTGTTGCTCCTGTGATATTATGCCATAGTTTTTCAAACACTGCATCATCAATACTGCGATGATTAAGTCCATACTCTTGGAATGCACACAAATCAGCGTTACCGGCGGTGATCGGTATGGTAAGTGCGACTACTTCTTTATGAATACGACTGATAACCCCTCGCTTCCATATTTGTGGAATTATGTTCTCCTCTAGACAGCGCTGATAGAAAATGGCATGAGGCTCCGCTAGATCAATGGCTACTGCACACAGAGCCTTCGGCCTAATGTTATCAACTCCAGAAGTGCCGTGCTTACACAGCTTAGGCAGTGAAGCTGATGTTAGATAAAACTGACGGGGCAGTAATAGAAACGAGGGAAGTATCTGGGCTGGTTACCTGCTAGGAACTGTACCTGTCAGTTGTGACCAATTCTAGGATTCAGCGCTGCACCTTACGAAGACCGTTAACGTGCCAGTATAAGAGTTTGCGGTTCGTGCAGGATCGCTTCATTAAACTCTGCTGATGCGTCACCTTGTCCCCGCGAATCAAGTTCACACAGAAGCTACACTGTGCCACATGTGCAGTCTGTATGTAAGCATTCGGACAATTCTTGTGAACTCTCCATGCCAAATCCCTCAGGGATATATATGGCTAGCGGCATACGGTTCAAGAATTGTCCGTCACTGCGGCATCCGTAGGACAGCCACTGGAGACCTGTACCTACAGAGTACCATGGCTGGCTTGTGCTACACCACTCACAGCTCCGTCCATACACTCCATTTCCAGTGTTAACCCGAAAGAATAAGATCGGGTGGCATGTGGATGGGAGCAACCTATCATCAACGGCACCGGCCCACAATACTTCAACAGGCGGAGCAGAAGCATTCATACCTAATTGGGAAATCATGCGTACCAGACGTACACATGGCGGTGCCTGGGCCGTAGCCCGCACACACTTGGTGCATGGAACCACTCTTTGAGCCTAGTACCGTCAAGAGGACCGTGCACCCTGTACCTTCCAGCAACGACCAACTGTCTCTTGGAGCCAGTATAAACGAGGTGGTGGATAATAGACGGGTAGGCTACCTTGACAACATTCAAATTAAGTGCAGTCCCACCGAGGAAATTCAACAACTAATCCCTGAAGTGCAAGAAATTAAATACACGTACCAGACCAACTGCAATGACCATGCGGCACACGCAGGACATCAGTCTCCTTATTGGCCTTGGTTAGTAAATGAAATGGATGTGGGCAC